AAATCAGATCGAAATACTCAACACCCAAAGAATACCATATTTTTAAAGTTTGCACACTAATCTGCCAGCATCAGATCACCCAGAACAACATGTGTTCAAACCATCATAACCTGAAATATAAATTACTAAATACAAAACCCTTTCACAGAGAGCTATATAAGACACAAACCAACAATTTTTATTCTTACAACTTGTTCCAGATCTGACCCTAAAGTCTCGAAATCAAGAGTGCAAAACAGAGCTGGGGATGAACTTACCTAGATTTCCAGCTTGATCATCCGAATTTGACAAAGAAATGGGGTTTTTCTCTCTTTCTCTCTCTCAAAACGGGAAACCAGATGGGATAAGAAGAGATAATGATCAGGTAAGTAATCTTGATAAGGTTGTGAAGATATTTTGGCAAAGTTCATTTTGGTCCCTCAAGTTTTAGCTTGTTTTTATTCTAGTCCCCCAACTTAGATTACATTCAATTAAGTCCCTCATTCTTCCTATTATTCCAAATACTTACAATTGAGCCCCTATTTCTTCCTATTATTTCAAATACTTATTATCCAATACCCCACTAACATGTCATATGCGAGTATAATTATATGCGTGTAATTTCTAAGTATGCATGTATGCATGAACGAGTGTATGTTTTTGGGACGGGGTTATTACAAGTAAGGAAGTATGGTTAAAAAAAGAGATAAATTTCTCACACTTGAGAAGTTTTAGTTGCATTTCTTATGTACATGTAAGATCTTATGATATACATAAGTTTAATCTTAAGACCCAAAAATGTTAATTCATTGGTTACGGTTATGATGATTTTGGTTATCGGCTTTGGGATGATTAGAATAGAAAGATCATAAGGACATGCTTGGGACAAATTCTAATAGTTCAGGAAGCCAATAAAAAATAAGTGAAAAAGCTAAATTAGAGAATATCTTGGAGAATGATATATTTGGGATTAAGAATTTCGATGATAGAGATGAGAAAGATAAAGCTAAACCAAAACCAATAAATCCAACTCCTCTACTAAGAAGATCCGATGGAGTATCCAGACCTACTCAAAGGTATTCACCTTTGTTAAACTATTTGCTTTTGACCGATGTTAGAGAATCGAATTCTTTAGTGAAGCAATGTAAGTGAAAGATTTTTTCAAATGAGAGTTAGCCATAGATGAAGAGATGAGGTCTCTCGTAAAGAATTAGACATGGACTTTAACCGTGTTACTAGAAAGAAAAAAAGCTATACATAATAAGTTGGTGTATAGGGTCAAAGAAGAGCATGATGTCGATAAAAAATACAAGGAAAGACTAGTGGTAAAGGGCTTTTAATAAAAAAAGTGGGAATTGATTACATCAAAATTTTCTCTTCTATTGTCAAAATGACTATTATTATGCTCGGTATTGAATATTCTTGCTATAGAAAATTTTCATCTAGAGTAGTTAGATGTAAAAACTCGCTTTTCTATATGGTAAACTTGAGGAAGACATCTACATAATACAATCATAAGGCTTTAAAGTTCAAAAAAAAAAAAAAAAAAAACTAGTGTGCAAACCGTAAAAAAATCTATATGGTTTGAGGCAAGCTCTTAGGGAATGGCACAAGAAGTTTGATGGGTTTACATGTGATAATAATTTCAAGAGATACGAGATGGATCACTATTATTATATCAAGAGGTTTGATAAGTATTATTTTATTTTACTTTTGTATGTTGATAATATGCTTATTGTAGGATCTAACATGAAAGAGATAAATAAGCTTAAACAATAGTTAACGGAACAATTAGAGATAAAGGACTTGGGATTTACAAAGTAGATACTTAAGATGAGAATTAATAGAGATAGATCAAAAAGTACTTTGACATTTTTTAAGAAAAGTACATACGAAAAGTGCTAAGTAAGTTCAACCTTCGGGATGAGAAGATCGAAGCACTCTTTTGAAAAGCCATCTCAAGTTCTCAAAGAAGCGAGTCATTAAAGACAATCGAAGAACAAAATGAAATGTCTATAATTCCTTATGCATCGACAATGAGAAGCCTAATGTATGTCGTAGTTCGTACAAAACCCGATATAACTTATGTAGTGAGAGTTATCGGTTGGTATATGGCAAATCAAGGAAAAAAGCATTGGGAAAGAGCAACATGTCCTTCATTATCTAAAAGGTACTTAGAGTACTTGCTCTTTGTTTTAAGAAGAACAATACCATTCTATAAGGATTTGTCGATGCAGATTTCGGACAATAAAAAGAGTACTTGCGAGGTTATGTCTTCACTTTGAGTGGTACTACCGTGATTTAGGTGTCTCGAATTTGGAAGTGTGTTGCTTTTTCCACCTCCGAAGTTAAGTATATGACCATTTCGGAAGTCGGTAAGAAAGTGGTTTGGTTGAAGAACTTTCTAAAGAAAATGTGTAAGACACATGATGATAGTGAATTTTTTAGAGACAGTCGATCGTAATTCACTTTTTCAAGAATCCAATTTTTCATACAAAAACCAAACATATTCAATTGAATTATCACTATATTTGAAAGGTATTGAATGATAGGGTATTATGTATGAACAAGATTTTAGGATTGGAGAATCCTGCTAATATGTTGACCAAGACAATTACTATCGATAAGCTACGAATTTGCATTGCTTCAATTTGCTTTCATGGTTAGTGATGAGATGGCACTGCGATAGGAGGACTTGAAGTTGATTGAGAAAAGGAACAATTACAAGAGGTTTTGATGCTATTTGGAGATTAGTCACCAATCGAGAGATTGTTAAATTATGAAGACCGATATCGATGTGGCTCATAATTTAATGCGGTACACGGAACCAATACAATGGTCTCACTAACTCGGTTAGAGAGCGAGGGTCAAAGAGGTAGTGTCCCTTGTGGGCGATTGAGGGAGGACTTGAAGTTGGTTGAGAAAAGGAACAATTACAAGAGGTTTTGATGCTATTTGGAGATCATTCACCAATTGAGAGATTGTTAAATTATGAAGACTGCTATCGATGTGGCTCATAATTTAATGCGCTACACAAAACCAATACAACGGTCTCACTAACTCGGTTAAAGAGCGAGGGTCAAAGAGGTAGTGTCCCTTGTGGGAGATTGAGGGAGGACTTGAAGTTGGTTGAGAAAAGAAACAATTACAAGAGGTTTTGATGCTATTTGGAGATCGAGTCACCAATTGAGAGATTGTTAAATTATGAAGACTGCTATCGATGTGGCTCATAATTTAATGCGCTACATAGAACCAATACAACGGTCTCACTAACTCGGTTAGAGAGCGAGGGTCAAAGAGGTAGTGTCCCTTGTGGGGGATTGAGGGCAGAGACCCCGAAAAAGTCTACAGAATCTTATGCTAGTTGTATAGGCTTGTAATACCTTTTATTATTATTATTATTATAACCTTTGTTGGCCATACTATAAATAGAGATAACATTTCTTATATTTGTAGCTACCTATTAGATATCCTTCATAAAAATTCTTAGTGTAGCTAAGGAGTAGATACAATTGTTGAATCACGTAAATCATTGATTGTATGATTGTTCTTGTCTTTCTACTCTATTTTTCTTGTTTGATTTGATTCCTAACAAATTATGTAATATCTATTTCATTATTTAACAAAAATTTTGTCAATTTGTTATAATAATTACATACATGAGACTTTCACATGTGATTTATTAGACTTATGTTTAACTTGACAAAGATTAATATTACCATAAGTTTGAAACTTATAGGAATAAATTGAAACCAAAACAAAACTGTATAGATAAAATTGAGATAACACATAAATCTTAAGAAGCAAATTAAAATTTATCTTAAATTAAAAACAACCACATGCGAGAGTCACACATGTGGTTCGGCTATTAACAAAGATTAATGTTGCAACAAATTTTAAACTTTTTAGATTTCATTGAAACAAAGCAAATGTTTTGTCGTGAAATTGTGACGATACATAAACTGGAGAGGAGTCGAATTGAAATTAGTTTTTCTTTTCTTTCATGAATGATCACAGATTCACAGAGGGAGGCAGAATGCAGTTACAAGTGATACCCTAGCAATTACAATTCACAGCGGAGTGGGTGTCTGTGTGGGGATGGATATCACCGGGAATCGAAAACTCAAATCAATTGACAGTGACTTTTGTCTTTTTTTTTTCGAAATATGAAATACCATTTCTCAAGGCATCTCCATACCTGTATGTATTCAATGCCTCAACTTTCCCACTCATCTGACATGACGCAAGTAAAATGCCTCACAAATTTTTAGTAAAATTAATTTAACTTGAATTGTAGGATTTGAGCGGGGGAGAAAATCTTACTGTAAGTCCCGCTAATCAGGGGCTGGGCTAAACTAGGCATTAGGATTGAGGATGCCTACATTTGGCATTAGTGTTAAAACCTTTTCCATGGATCAAGCACAGCCCTTCATTCCTTAGACTGGTCACTGGACTTCAATTTTAAAATTGCATTTATGTACAGAAGCTTCTGTCTGGGCATCCTTTTGTTTCTATTCCTGCGTTTATGAGTTTTACGTGCAAATGGTATCGCTAGGACTCTGGGCCAGCTTTCTTGACTGGAAATTAAGTTCATTTCTTAGATTTAGCTAAAAGCAGAAAAATAAAAGTTATAATCGTCATTGCCCTTGAGGAAATAAACATGTAAATGAAAGCAAACAGGAGCTCACAAAAGCTTGATCATGAATGCATTTTTTTTTATTTTTTGGAAGGGGGTAATTGCTCTTACAATATTTATGTAATGAAGTTACTGTAGATTGAAGCATTCACCAGGTTCATAAAAGAGTGGCTCACATTATGAAAGCAAAAGTTATGGGCAAGTTGATAATAATTAGTACTAGTACTAGGGTGACTCTTTATATATAAGCCATGGAAAGCCAAGGCCATGCAGAAGACAAGAAGCATCAAAAAGTGAGGGGAAAAAGAGAGACATAGAGCCCAAGCAACGAGTAGATAGATTGAGAGAGAAAAAAATAAAAGAAAAAAAAATGGGTAGGGACAAAATGTTGACAGTGTTTTGCGTTGTAGTAGCCTCACTAGCAATAATATCAATGGCAACATTGCAGGATGATGAGAAGGAATGTGCAGACCAGCTCGGAAACCTTGCAGCTTGCATTCCTTTTGTGAGTGGCACTGCCAAGAAGCCAACACCAGAGTGCTGCCAAGACACCCAAAAAGTGAAAACCAACAAGCCCAAGTGTTTGTGTGTTCTCATTAAAGAGAGCACTGACCCCTCCATGGGTCTCCCTGTCAACACCACTCTAGCCCTTCAAATGCCATCTGCTTGCAACATCGATGCCAAAGTTTCTGATTGCCCTAGTGCGCAATTCCTTCGTTCATTTATTTATTTATTTTGCTCTTTGAGAAAGCATATATATAACAAAACCTAATTAAAAGAACTCAGATAAATTTATACGAATCCAATATTTTACTCTCTCAATGTATTGATGATTGCAGCTATATTGAACCTCCCGCCAGACTCCCCAGAAGCAAAGATCTTTAAACAAGCAGGCTCATCAGATTCTACTACTACTACCTCAGCTACAGATTCCCCACCAAGTTCTGGTTCTACTTCAACTGGATCCTCCTCCTCTAGTTCAGCTCCTGATACCAGTTCAAAGTCGGATTCAAAGGAAGCTGCAAGCAGCAATGATGGAGCAAAGATCACCAAGCTATTTGGAGCAGAGATGATAGTGGGTTTTGTCGCAGTACTGATCATGTTGTTCATTTGAGCTAGCTAGCTGCCAACAAGTAGCATACCGTGGTTGGTTAATTTAAACTAGCTAGCTAGATGGTGAGGAGAGAACAATTTTATTCAGTGTTCATGCTAACTTGTTCCCTTCTATATTTCGTAATAACAGAAAATTAAATAATGATGACACTCGAAATTTGATCCTTCTTAAGGTGTTGAAATGATTAAAGTAACCAAGAAAAAGTTATAATTGTTGAAAATTAATGCATATAATAGTAATAATAATACTAATAAAATTATTTAGAAATAAATGTATATGAATGGTAATTAAAAACTAAATCAACTTAATAGTTGATGTATATAATTAAATTCACTCTCTTAAATCACGTATGTCTCTCAAAAATGATATATCTCTTGATGCAACATAACAATTTCTTTTTTAAGATGCTATACAATCGCAATGCTCAAACCCTCCCCCTATAACTAATTAAAAATTGTTTCACTATAAAAAAAATTGAGTTTAGCGATTGAATATTTTGTCGCTAAATGCTCCAATTCGTCGCTAACTCGTGAATAGCAACGGACCATATTCAATCGCTATTTTGTTGGTCGCTAAATTTTTGCAACGGAATACTCGATCCGTTGCTAAATTTAGTGATAGAAAGTCCGTCGCTAATTTTGTCGTAGGATCGCTCTTTTTTTCGTAGCTAATCCATTGCTATTCTATCGCTAATTTTGAAAATAAATCTATCGCTATTTCATCATTAATTTTGAAAATAAATCCATCGCTATTTCGAAAAACGAAATTATCACCAATCCGTTGCTATTTTCGAAAATGATTTTTTCGTAATTCCTTCGCTTTTGTTGACATTTTCAAAAATTAAATTATTAATATGACATTTAATAATTAAAATTTAATAATAAAAAAATCATAAGTAATCATGTATATATAAAAAATAAAATAATATTAACAAAATCATTCTAGAATACATTTCATAAAAAAACAACAAAACAAGCAAAGTGATCGAATATTATATTACTCATCATGCTCATCTAATCCTATATCCTCATCCTCATGCTCGTATGGAGGGCTCGACCGGAGGATCGATTGGAGGCCGAGTAGAAGGATCGATAGATTGTTGAATGATCGACGGATCAATAGACAACTTGGATGTTCATGCTAGCCGCATCGGTAAGGATGGCATCAAATCGTATTGAGACTTCATGCTACAAATAGTCCGATTTTGCGCTAAAATCTAGCTTTTAAGCTCGATCACCTCTTCCTTCATAGTCTCGTAGTCCATCCAAAGCTTTTTGCTAGCCGGATCGATCATGTATTGCAACGTCGTAGAGAAGGAGCTGCGACCATTTGATTGAGACACATAGTGCACCGATTGTGAGCCTATCACATAAAATCTTTCCTTCGTCCCCCTAAAAGCCTACGGGTATATGGCCTTCGGTCTACTTCTAGTTCCAAGATTCCCGCCTCCCTCTAAGTCTCAACTTCCTCATTGATAAGCTTCTCCACACGATCCTGCGTAATCTAAATAATAATTACATCATTACGAGTATTAAAATAAATTTGAGAATAAATTTTCATATTTAATATTTAAAATTGAAAAAAATACTAACCTTTGTTTGTTGGGAACACATATCGACGAATGAACCATCACGTTTCTTGTGAGTCCTCTTGAATAACCCAAAACTCGTTAGCCGACGTCTCAATTCTACCGCCTAAAAAAAACCATTACGAGAGAATATGACAAGTCCCAAATTGAAATGTTGTGAAATAAGTAAATAATAATAAAGAGTGTAATTTACCAAGTGACGTGCATGCTCTCGTGAAGATATTAAGCCCCCGTATGTCCGAAAGGACCCAAATCGGGACCATCGGTCTCCGACAATCGATTCCGCGATGCTTGCTCCGAATGAGTCACGTGATTAAGTTTTTTGAAATCAACTTGCCATGCATCCCATGCCTCCTAACTCATAGATGAAGGTTGCTCATCCATCATACTCATCTTGTATACGAAGTTAGCATAGCATTTCCTAACGACACTCTTCTACGACCTCTCTAACAAGCGCATTGATGTCCACATCCCATTCAAAAAAATTCTACACAAGCAAAAATATTTATACAATTTATTTGACGAGAAAAGTTTTTGTGTGTATAGAAAGAAAATTGTAAATATGTTACCTTAAATTCACTAAAGTAAAAGTCTTTAGTGACGTTAGGGACATCCTTCCATGACGATCATTTCTTGTCTACTCGTTCCTTAAAAATTACATAGATTTTTATAGAATAATCTTTATTATCTAGAGTCAATCTATCAAGCAAACAACAAAACGATGAAAAAAATATTTTAAACACGAGTAATTATTGAAATTACATATTAAAAAAAAACAAATACATATAGTCCATAATCAACGTAAATAATACGTTGTTGATTGGATGAGTCGTTAGAACTCTCCGGAGTGTCGGACATGTGTGTGGAGGGGCCACTCTTGGAGGTCGGTGGTGGAACCTCGAGTGCTAGTATAGGAACACCTATCGATGCGGGTGTGCTAGCTCTATGATCGGGGAGCTCGTTAGATCCATGAAAAAGTCTTGTCGTTTGAGACCCACGATCAATACTAGTAGGGGATCCTAATAGACTACCCTCCGATAGTGATGCTCATCCACGATTATTGAAACGTGATTCGGTAGTGACTTCGAAAGGACGACACAAACCATGATTATCACGAGTAATTAATGTATGATCTAATGTTAAACAAAAAAAAACAAAATACAACAAATATATTTTTAGAGTCCATTCATAGGTAAATAAATTAAAATACATCATTTTTTATGGATATAAAACAATCAAAATATACAAAAAAAAAAAAATTAGTGAAGGTAGAAAACCAAAATTAATAAATTAATAAAGAGAAAAAATTACATAATTTCTTATTAATACAACAAATGAAATATAAATTTAATTCAAACTATCGTAATAATTATTTAAGTTATCATCTTCATCATCCGAAACATTGTCACAATCATTTCTTTTGTCAACAATACCTATTTCTATATCGATAAACGATCCATTTGGATCATTCAACAAAATGACGGATTTCTAGATTGTCCTCCTGAAATGGTTCAACATTTTATTCTATGGTAGGTGATGATTCGGAAAAGTCAAATACGGATCTAGCTTTGATCTTACACATAGCCCTCCAATCTCGATTGTCATGTCTTAAATGAGGGTACTCCATATAATACACTTGAGCCGATTGTCATGCTAGGACAAATGGTTCGTAATTATTCAAGGTTCTTTTACAATTAACATCCACAAGTTTGTAGTATGGATGAACCTTTGTTCCTTATGATGTGGGATCGAACCAATCACATTTGAACAATAATGTTCTCTTGATTGGTAATGCGGGATACTCTACTTTAAGAATTTTTATCGGCATCCCATGATAGTCACTCTTAGTTGAGCTATAATTGCTTCCTTTAATACATACACCACTATTGAAAGACCTTATTTTCGAAGATCCCTCAAGTGTGCGGAACCTACAACCATTAACAAAATAACCGTTGTATGATTTGACAATTAGCAATGGGCCTTGTGTAAGATCTTTCAAGAACTAGTCTTTCATGTAAATTGCTTGTGTATTTTGTGTACTGCAAGTTAAACATAAAATTACCTCTAAGTTTAGTTATTTTCGTATTAATGCTATCAATAAACTAAATATATAAAATGGTCATACTTATATATTGATTAAACTAAGAAGCAAACTCATTTTCAATTAGAGCATCGACTTCATTTTCGAACATGAACGGATTGCTCTGTTGTATTTTGGTAAAAAAAATCCACTAAAGAAAAGAGAATTATTAAGAAACGTGAGTTAGTCACTATTATCTTCCTAATATTAATTATTAAATATAATAAATAGGTTAAACTCACTCAATGTAAGGTTTAACTTTCTTATAACTCAACAATATACATTGGGGGCTGCTTTATGTTCTAGTTGTGTCAATTTTCTTATTTTGTATCAACCAATTGATTGACTCGGTTGTTTAAATATGGATGACATCCATTCAATGTAGTTTTTTTCTTTGTTGTTGAATTCAAAATTATGGAGCACTTTTCGATGCCTTATATGCACATGAGGCTCAAAATAATGTGACCAAAATAGAGAGATTTCTTCGACCAAATATGCATTACATATCGATCCTTCCATTTAGCTTTGTTCTTAACATTATGTTTTAGCTTCCGTAAATACCTACAAATATGAATAATTTTAACGTTTGAAAGTAAGAAATTTATTTAATTTTACTTTTAAATTGAATGTCAATACCTTTCAAATTGATACATCCATCGATATTGCACAAGTCCCGCAACGGATGCCTCATATGATAGATGAATTGGCAAATGTTTCATGGAGTTAAAAAAGCTAGATGGAAATATACGTTCTAGTTTGCACCAAATGATGGGTATCTCATCATTAAGTCACAATATATCCTCTTGCTTTGTAACTATAGAAGTCAATTGCTTGAAAAACAAACTCAAATTTGTAAGTAATTGCCAAACATTTCTCGATAAAAACTACGAAAATGCAATTAGAAGTAAACGCCGTATGAAGACGTGACGGTCATGACTTTTAATCCTATAAAGTTTTTCATACTGCATATCAACACATTGAGCTAGATTGGACACATATCCATCGGGGAACCTGAGTTGTTTTATCCATTCAAGCAATCTTCTTTTTTGTTGTTTTCACGGAGTAAATACAGATTTAGGATACTTTCCAAACGCATCATCCTTTGCTAATTCGGCTTTTTATAGAAGAGTTTGAAATCTTCCCTAGAGTTGGCATTATCTTTAGTTTTTTTTTGGCACATTCATTATTGTGTTAAAAATAATATCAAAAATATTTTTCTCAATATGCATGACATCTAAACTATGCTTAATGAGATTTATACTCCAATAAGCAAATCCCAAAAAATACTCTGCTTTCTCCATCTAGACATTTAAGATATTCTACTATTATGAT